GCTCTATACAGAACACTTCTTTCATCCACTAAATAAAGCACCATTATTTGAAGGATTCATTTAAAAAACCAACATACATTTTAGCCTCTTAAGAAAAAGTCAAATTGCTTTCTGAAAAGGGTAGTGAACACAACGGCTCACATTCATTAATGTAATATGTACAGAAGAAAAACAACTTCCAGACCAATCACCAGGCACAAAAGACACCAATGAGAAACATAATCCTCTGCAAAGCAAGTCAATTACTTTTTAAGGATAAAAACCGGTACTAGCCAGAGCAGGGTTTTAGTCCATGCCACCTTGAGTGCTTAAGCTCTAAAACTAGTAGAATGGTCCCATAAAGGAAGAATTTTTACATTCACTTAACTTGATTAATTGCAAGTCAAGACAAACAAGCCATTGACACATGTTTCACACTACTTCTAAACCCTCAAAATGCATCACTGTGTGAAGAGGATGAAAAAAGGAACTCACAGAATCTATCTGATTTTCATCCAACCCAGCACAACAAGGGTCACCGTAAAACATGGGCGGCGGTGGTTGGAGGCTTTGAAACTCATCATCCCACTTTTGTCCATTAACGGTATCCCCCTCCAAAGTCATATCATTCAATGATTGGTCCAAATTGACATCATCAAAAAAGTTCTCTTCGATTAAGTTGAAGTTTTGGTCGAAGAACCAGTTATCACTCATGGTAAATATGTTCCTTCTGTATTCTGTCATGTCACAAGAAGGAAAAATAATACATACATATATATAATAAAGAAGAGAATGTTACGCATCTACACCATCATTTTAGGAGCAGCAAGAACAACCCACCCACGTTATTTACACGTAAAAAAGATGCAAAATTTGGCATTTAATATTAGTCAAAATTAGATAATTATCGTGTAAAATTAAAAAGCTAATCACTAGTAATTGATTATTACGGATTTACCTTATCCAACAAAGATTGAGTGTTTTTTTTCAAGGAAAATCTTGAGAATTAAGGAATCTAAAATCTTGTCAATTTATTTCACACAAAACACAAGAATGTAAATTTTCTTATGGAAAATTAATTTCCAAAAAAAAAAAAAAAACCCATCAAAAAAATGATTTCAAAAAAAGAAAATTGGATTCTTAATTCCTACATATTTGGAAAGAAATCAATTAGTATGCAGGACGTCACTTTCCATGTATAATAAGCATTAGTTACGTCGTCGTTTTAGCTTCAGCTTCAATGCTAATGACAATGAGATTCTGACCGACGAACACGGAAAATAGATAAATTACAACAAAAAAAAAATATATGATTGAAAAATGAAAATTTTCAAGGGATTGTTTGATTACTGAGAAAATGGAGGAAAATTTTGAAAAATTAGTAGATGTTAGCTCCTAGCCTGCGGAATATATCCACACCTTAACATAACTTGAACCGAAGCTAATGTCGGTTCCCTAGCTACTAAAGTTTTCATAAATTTCTTGACTTTTCTTCCGTTTTCTCAGTAAACAAACAGAAAACAAACGGAAATGCAGCCAATGTACGACAAAAAGGAAATAAAAACAAGAAATTTGCGAAATGAAACAGAAACCATAAACACCCCCAAAATGCATTAAAAGAAGAAGAAGAAGCGGAAGGAGGAGAAACAAAAATGGCTGTCTCTTAGACACATCTAGACTTAATTGTTTTTTTTTATTTTAACTTGATTGCACAATAAGAGATAATTATCTTTCATTCTTTATTTTACTCTACTAACATGTTATATGAGTTTAGCAAAAAATAATAATCACTGAATTATTTAAGTCGTTAACATCAAATAATCTTATATACTTTGTTTTATATAAAAAGAAAAATATAGTAAGATATTTAACAATAATTACATAATAAATGTGATTGGATTATATTA